CCGAGGAAACCGCGAGCTGCACGCCCAGGGGCTAGCAAAGGCAGAGCGTGAAGGCAGCCTCTGTCCGCCGTGACAGCCTGAACCTGCTGGGCCACAGAAGGGCTTTGCCGCGCCGTCCACCAGACAGGAGAAACATCGGGCGTTGCTCAAGCTCTCTCCTGGCGCAGCGCAGCGCAGCGCTTGCAGGAGCTGGCGGGCGCGGCGCTGAGCGTGGAGGAAGGGAGGCAACCGGTCGGGGAAGCTACGTGAGGTCCGTTCCCTTCCTCTGCCAGCTGCCGCGTTTGTCTGCTCCCCTCTGCCTTCCCTGCGACAGCGTTTGCCTCTAGCATCCGTTCCTCCCGTTTCTCCGCGGAAATGAGCGCGATGCTCACGGTCTACGCGAGACCAGCAGGAAGTTTATGGTGGGGTCTGGGAGGATTTTAAATGAGGCTGGTGGCTTTGCCAAGCAGCACCAGGAGAACATTCTGCGTATTGGGTCCGTTGCAGAAGGAAAGCTTGAGGATGCTTGTACCTGAAATGATTACTGTCTAGAAGGTAATGGTGGCCAAGCAGAGGGGAGAGGAAGAGTCCAGATTAGTCCGGAGGTACAGAACTATAAGGGTCTTGAAGATTGCTACAAGAATTTGGACATGAAAAGCAAGTCAAAGTTGGGGAGCAGAGAAGGGAAGAGTAGGAGTTTGGCTTTGGTCAAGGTAACTTTTTGGAGATCAACCTCCATTGCCATGCCACACGTCAAACGTTCTGGGAGCCTCCGTCTCCGTCTCCACAGCTTCTGCCAGTCCCTTTTGGCCAAAAGAAGTGTAGAGTGATAAGTGATCCAGGTGTTGTTGGAGGCACGGGTGGAACTTTGAGATTGGATGGCAGGAGGAAATTTGGGGGCCGAGAAGTGAACTCCAGCTCAGAGATGATAGTGGAAGCAATATGAGATGGTGAGGCCACTTGTGGAGAGTGTGCCTGCAGGGATACCTGCCAAAAAGGCAGCAGAGGGAAGGAAGAGCATCCACCAGGAAGACAAGTTAAAGGTACTCCCAGTGGGGCGGATGGAGAATCAGGACAGGACGCTGTCATCAGTTCCCAACAAGAACTGAGAGCTCGAGTAGGCAGGTGTTACCTGTCACTGCAGTATCCAATGCCACAGAGGGGTCCAGAAGACAAAGATGGAGGAGAGTTGGTAGAGTATAGCCAGGAGACCCCATGGAGAGTAATTCTGCTGGCAAGACTGGATCCACGGTGGAGCTGGAGAAGAATTTAAGTAGTGGTTGTGGACTGTTTGCTCTGGCACTGGCTGAAAAAGGAGCCAGGACTCAGCAATGTAGGATGGAAGTGAGCAAAGCTAACTTGGATGGTAAGAAAGCCAGGCAAGACCAAAGAGGCTGAGAAGGTGGGAGGCACACAGGCATAGCTGCAGGACCGGGAGAAGGAGAGAGATGCCTGTTAGTAACGGGGAAGGAGGAGCATGTGGGAAGTGGAAGCCATTGTTGTCATCTTCCCCCAAGAATGCAAGTGGCTTTTTTTTTTTTTAAAGCAAAGTGAAGTCCCCAGAGTGTTAGAAACCCCAAGAGCTGCTGCAAGTGTCTGGATCTGTTTGTGTCTTGATTTGAGATGGCTCGGAGAGGTGTGAACCCCCATCCATCTCAGTGGAGCATTGGCTTTGAAACCTGATGCCCTACTAATGGGCCTGTTCCAAGTGACTAAAACATGCCCCTTTGTTCTGGGTTTGCCTGTGGAGTTGTTACACTTGTGCATACTGATGGTTGCACAGGCAGATGTCACTGCCCCTCACCTCTTCCACATCCCCAGCCCCCATACTATGTGAGGCCTTTACTCTGTGTGCATATCCCTGAAAACATTTGGTGTGTTGGGAATTTGCTGTGCATGAAGGTTGTACATGAGCCATGATTTCAACGTAGTTTGTCCTCCTTCACTGTACGAGTGTGGCTAGCCGTCCTGACCCGTGATACCTATCTGTGTATGGGGTCCTTTGGGATGTGCCAGGTGAAATGGGTCTGTGCTCCAGGCTCTGGAAGCATTTCTTTAAAGCATGACCATTTTCCTTAACAGACTGCCTCGGGGTGGTCCTCAGCTGCTCCAGACTGTATCTTCTTCCAGGTTGAAATTGTGTGTTTGAGGTCGGAGTTAGTGGGTGAAGTTGAGGCCAGACTTGATGATAATGGCCCTGTCTGGCCTTGCCCTCTGGCTGTAAGGAGACCAGAGAGAGCTCATGGACAGTATCAGTTTGCTTGGACGTTTCCAAACCAGAACCCAGCATTGGTTCAGGAATACCCAATCGAGAGGTCTTTGTTTTCAGAGCACAAAGTACATACCCAGCAAGAAAGGAAGCCTAGCTACCTGGATCCCAAGCCTGCTTCCCAGACACAGCAGTGTTTTCCAGCCGCCTTCTCTGCAGCTTCACATGGGGAAGCCTCAGGACTCTCCTGCTGTGCCAAGGTGGGTTGCTGATGGCACTCAGCCACCCAACATCAGTGCCTGCTATGTGAATGATTCTTCAAAGTGGTGACCTGGTGGATTTGGATTTGGACCTGATAACCAGTGGAGGAGGAGACACTTGTCTACAGCAGCTTGACTGAATTGCCTTTTCATGGCTGTTTCCACAGCGCCCCTGTCAGTGGTGCAGCGAGGGGATGTTGCTTACCGACAGTTGTCACTTAAAATACTTCCTTTTCCGTTGGGCAAAGCAAGGCCCTGCCATGGCTTAAGTGTTCTCATTGCTGTTAAATGTCACTCCTTCTCCGTTTTAGAGGGAAACAAATGCTATGCTGCATTTGGATGTGATGTATATTATATGTGGTCAAGAAATGATAAGGCATGCTCTAGGCATGAAGAGCAGGATTCAGAAGGCTGCTGATGCAATTAGCTTCTCCAACTGGAGGAGGCTTTAGTTTGCTAAAACGACTACAGTACCTCAGATTAAGTCTACTCCGGACTGCTCTGTGGTACCTATCCAGTGCTTGTAAATCAGGTAACAAATGGGGTGGGAGAAAGCAACGAGATGATATAGCTGAGATTTTCTGTGTTCCAAAGTCACGATTCCCACAGCAGCTGTGATGTGCCACCTCACGCACACATACCAGCGCCTTGAAGTCACCTGCATAAACAGAAATGCAGGATGCCCCACATCCACAAGCGGGGATTCCTGTGGGAAGTGTAACTTTCTAAAGGTTTGCTAAAACTCAGCCACAGCATTGCAGTCAAGTTTCTCTGTATCTAACACAGACCCTCTGGAGACCTAACAAACTAGGTTAGATGCAAATGGGATTGTTTCAGCACAGAGAGACCTGTAACTCGAGGATGGACAGGCATGTGCTGTCTGATGACCCTGTGTAATTCTTAGCGTGGTGTGGTGGTTAGCGACTTGAGCAGAAGACTTGCTAGCCAAGTGAGTGAGGTCAAGCTGACACCTTTGCAGAACAGCAGTGTAAATCTTCGGGGTATCTGAGCTAGGTGGAACCACCACCAGCACTTGTACACATTATGTTAATTTTTACTGAGATTGTCAAGTAAATAGACTCACTGCTGTTGTATTTTCCTCTTCAGATAGAAGGCCTAGCCCAGGCGTAAGCCCTACTGTGCCTGTGTCCATCGGACCCCAGTCAAGGAGGCGTGCTAAGACCTGCCTTCCAGAGTCAGTGTCCTGGGATGTTACACAGGTTCAGAGGAGAGCCCCACATTTGTCCTTGCTCATTCTCAGCCTCTCCTGAAGAGGCAAGATTTCCTGGATTCTCCTCCCAGCTCCTCCACTGACTTGCTGAGACTCTGGACAAGTTTTCCTATGCGTGGAGTGGGATCCTAGCTACATCCCTGAGCAAGCCATACTGTAGAGACGACGCAGCTATTTCCCAGATGATAAAACATCTTTGGGAATAAAGGTTCTGGCAAGGGCTCTTACAGGTGGTGCAGTAAGTCCTCTCCCTCGGAGTATCCCGACCCCTCTAGTGAGGTGTATGTCATTTTGGCAGATGCAGGAGTTGCAGCTGATCCAGGGTGGACTTATACCTCATAGAATTTTAGTTTTTATTAGGGCCATTAGGCCAGTACCTTGCTGACTGTGTGAGTGTCTGTGTGACTTTGACAAGGCCTCTGTTACAGTTTTTCAAGCACAGGAATAAAAATCTGTTTTTCCCCCCCTTAGGAGACGGAAGTCAGATGACTTCAAAAGAGCGCTAAGGTGTGGTGGAGAACAAAGAAGCTGCAGTTGCTTTCCTGTTCGTTAGTTGGACAGGGCATTAAGATGTCCGTGGACATGAACAGCCAGGGCTCTGACAGCAATGAAGAGGATTATGACCCAAACTGTGAGGAGGAGGAAGAGGATGAGGATCCTGGGGATATTGAGGATTATTATGTTGGGGTCGCTAGTGACGTGGAGCAGCAGGGAGCGGATGCCTTTGACCCAGAGGAATATCAGTTCACCTGCCTGACTTACAGGGAGTCGGAGAGCACTCTGAACGAGCGAATGGCTAGCTTGGCCTCCACGTTAAAGGTGAGGAAAGGTTTCTGCCTTCAGAGGGGTGCAAATGGGGCTACATGGCTAAGCAGGCAGACATTACAGTCTGAAGTCAGAGCAGTGAAAGACCATTACCTCCCTGAGCTGTTGTGGATGGTTGGCAGTTCCCAACTGATGCTGAGGGCTTACCAGTCCTTGTGTGCTGATTCTGGTCCAGGGGTGAGTGAGAAACTGCTTACCCAAACCTCTGTTCCCTGTAATGTTTTGGAGTTGAGCAGCATGAGCAAACTCTCTAATGCTAAACCTGCCTAAAGAGGGCAAGGAGAAGAGAATCAAAGGGTGGGGCGTGCAGTTGAATGTGCATACAGCTGCACCAGTGTTTGTTTAGAAACTGCCTGTCAGAAAGTACTTTAGTCAGTCCCCGCACAAAACCCTGCCACATTGGTTCTGAGGGAATCATCACAGACTTTCACAAAAATGGATTTCATCTTATACCCAGCACTCCCCTCCCCTGTCATCACACTCGCCAACCATTTGTCTGCACAGGGTGAGCTCCCCAAATCTTGCAGTACTGATTGATTGCTCACTAGAGGAGGTTTCCATGCCTTTAGGTTGGTGTTGAGTGCTCTAAAGAGATGATGTGATCAGCCCCTGTTTTGCAGCTGGGAATATAGTGCATATCAGCAGTGAGGCAAGTGACTTCCAGTGTGCTGCAGCCACAGTAGAGAGTGGCTGGGCCAGATGAGGTGGAAGGCAGGCCAGGGTGGCAACTTAGAGACTAACTGGTTCAGAGAGGCATGCACTGAGCTGACTGGGTCTCCAAGGTGCACCACTGCCCTGTTTTCTGCCTGACTGTAGACAAACATAGCTACCTACCTCTCTGGTCAAAGAAGAGGGGAGAGAAGAGTCTGGTATTTGAGATTTCCAGGCTTTAGCCAGGCTAAAGCAATCGGCAAGGCTGTCCTATGGCAGCTCTCACCACACTTGGCTCTGCCAGGGACCCTGGGTCACTAGAATCTGGGCAGATGTAGTTGTGGTCCATACAAGCCACCTAACCTTGCTAGATGGCTGATTTTCAGTCCCTGCCACCTGAGACTGGAATTAGACTGGCAGCTTGGAGATGAGAGGGAGCCTCGGAAGGATCCAGGTCCCTTGAATTGTCTCTCTCTGGGCCAGAAAGTCTGTGTTGTGATATCGATAGCGTGCGGGTCCAGAGGCAGCGGAGTGCTTTCCACTATGTCAGTCTTGCTGCCCTCAGTGCCCACGGACTCTCTCTTAGTGATGTGGTTGTGCCTGGAATAGTCTCATTTCACCTCTGGGCCCACTCTCCCTACAGATCTGGGTACTGGAGGACAATAGACAGAAGCAGATATGGGGGGTGTTGGCTGGCCCCGGGATCTGAACCTCAACCCCTCAGCACCAAGTGATTCAGTAAATATGTATAAAGGGGCTGTTCTGCTCCATGTCAGGTGGCTCCTTGTGTCAGCAGAGTCAGGTGAATGAGAGTGCTGTTTGCTCTTCAATCTGGAGACTCTGAAGCTGGTCTCTTAACTTCAGTCTAGGTTCACACCATTTGTTTTCCTGGGTTAACTTCCCATCTGGAAGGTCCATCTATTTGCAGCATGAGGCATACTGGATTTGTCCTTAGAAACCTTTGTGGCTCTCTCCTCCTTCACAAAGCCCTCTGTATCTTACAGCTTGTAGCCTGGCTTGGTCTAGCTGTTGCTGAACCTAGCCAGAGGCATCCAAACACATTTCCTTTTAGTTGTCCGACTTTGGTCCACTTGACACTTGATAAAAGGCCTGTATGCTCCGTTTATGATGGCAGCAAGTCATGTGGCTTTTGGGTTGTAGCAAATGTCACTTGTCCACCACACACTTAGCTGTGTGCACCACTAGAGGGGCAGAGCTGTACACTATAGACTAGCCTTTGGACATGTGAATGGAGTCTACAGCGTTCAGTGATGATCAGCTACTTTGGGTTGAGTGAATCATAGGAGCTACCAGTCTCCCTTCGAGAGACTCCAGGTTTGCTAATGATTATGCATTGAGTGCTGGCTATGAGCACGTGGCTTGTAGGGCCTCTTAGAGACCATGATGTGTTGGTGCCATCCAAGCAGGTAGAATTCTTTCAAATCTTCTGTTTCTGTGGACAAGTAGCACTAAGCTGGCAGCGTTAATAGTGGTGACCTCGCTGGGGCAGTCGGAAACATACAGTGGATTGTTCAGTCTTTGTGGGATCTTCATCAGTGATGCATTGTTCAGATAGATTGGTAGTGCGCACGTGACATCAGATGCCTCTCATCTGTGGCACAATTTTTATCCTTTCCTGGGAAAAGAGAGGTTGTCACAACCTAGCATTGCAAGGAGTGCTGGGGACTCTGGGGACTCGTTCTTGACTCATGAATGTTAGCGTGTAATTTGCAAGGCTGAATTCTTCCCTGGGCCCAGCACAGGGGAGAGGGGTATGTTTTCCAGTCTTGTGATTGCTGCAGTGCCAAGAGCTGCATTGGTATCAACAGCCTATGCAATAAATAGCATGACTGAGCCCATCTGTGCTTGGCATCTTGCATGTGCAGAAACATCCAAGAATCCTGTAGCCATGAAGAAGCAGATTTGTTTCCTGGAGTGTCCTTGGGTCTTGGTGATTATAATATTCCTGTGTGGTGGTGTTAGGGGTCTCATACATAAAACCTGCTAAATCCAGAGAGCTCCGGCTTGCCTTTGGGACAGAGAAACAGTTGCCTATTATTTGGGATTTTAAAGATCCCTCACTGATTTCGAGATCCCTAGTCTGGGTGCTCTCATGGTGCCTTTAAGAGTCTCATTTTTAAGCAAAACCGGTGTTGAACCCTGATATGCTTCTGGCTTCGCCAGTGTAGGAGGCTAGCCTGATTTGATGTGTAATAGCCAAAAGTTATGCAGACGTCTGGGCATAAAATAGTGCTAACTGCTGCTGCAACCAGGACCACAGTACTGGCAAGTGGATCACAACTTGGCAGAGTTCATAGTATTTTCAAGATACTTTATAAGACTGGCTTTGTTGCCAGAGCTTAGCTCATTGTTTGTAGAGAGAAGTAGAGGCCAAGGCTTTGTGGATTTTTCCCCCTTTTTTTAGAAGGAACTCTCACAGGCATCTCTTTCTGTTGACAGGCAGTGAATTACCTTGAAAATGGAGCAGGATTGCTTTTAAGAATGATCGCCTGCTGGGTCTTTTTAAGTGACTTTCTGGGAAATCGCATATGAACAAATTGTTTCTGGAAATTGTCTCGAATAATGGTTTGCTTCCCTTCATGAGTCTTTTAGTCACAGCATTATTGTATGGTTTGTGGAAAGCATCTTTGGCCAGTGCAGGGAACAGCCAGACAGCTCAGTGACTCTTCCACAAGCAGTTCTCCATATTCAGCACATTAATAAGCAACTTTCAAATCACACGGGTTTCCACGTGCCAGATCTCGCTGTTGTATCCAAGCGGAATTTTGAAGCGGCTCAGACCTTAACTCGGTCGGGGCACGCAGATCTGTCTTCATGCCGAGCTCCATGCTTCGACATCCAGCCTGCAGTCTGTCCCGTGGCACCAGGCCCAGCCAAAACCTCTAAGTCCTGGTGCAGCACTCCTGCCTGTCGCTGTTTCTGTCCTCCAGGTACGCCACAGCCATGCCGTCATCTGCCAGTACGAGGCAATGGGTTTTGCTTATGTGCTGAACTGGGTTGGGGCAAGGGATGTTCGTGTTATGCAGACCCTGGGAGTTTAGCTTTCAGTATCTGCTCAAAGAAACTGCTCTGAGCTGAAGTGAAACTCCTTCAACCATTACCTCCAAATGCAGCATACCAGAAAGCCAGGAGAGGACCTTTGTCTGCCCAGATGACGGGGTTGGTAGGAAAGCCCAGGCCTGGCTTATGGACCCATTTTGTGAGGTTATTTGAGGAAAGAGAGAGGATTTCCCATCAGTTCCTTGCTGTTCAGGGCTGTGGCCACTTTCAGTTTGACTCAAAGATAAGCTACGTGTGTGGGCTAACAGTGTCCCACTCCTTCCCTCTCCTTTCAGGATCATGTATATAGTAATGCTTGTATCCCTATGGCTCTGCTGTGAGCAGTTTCAGCGTGCAGCTGTTGATGAGTTTGGTGGTGGCAGGAGGTGGAGGGATGAAACTGCTCTTTGAACATGTCTAAATCTTGATGCGAGTCTGGAGTTTCACATTGCAAGCTTACAGCTGGCCCAGATGAATGTAGAAGCTGCACAAAGCAGCTAAAACATGCGGTCAAGCTCTCGTGCTGCGGCTGGCAAATGCAAAGCAGCTGTAAAGGGCTGTCCTGCATGCCGTGAAATGCTGTTCCTCACATGAGCCATTCCTTCTCTTCCGTTCAGCTGGTACAAAACAGAAAGGTCTCCTTGCGAGGTGGTGCCTGAAGGCAGTGCAGGGTTAGTCACAGCAAAGTCATCTTGGACACTGCCCCGTCAGCTGCTGACGCCCGCTCGGTAGCGTGGACGTAGGCTTGCTGCACTTAGATGGCAAGATGAGCACCCCTCTGCCTCCCCATGTTTCCCTCATGTCCCGCGAGGTCGGAGAAGATCTGTCTCGCGGGGAGGAGGCCCGAGAGCTGCACTTCCTGCGGCATGAGAAGCCCTGGGCTGTGTCACTAGGAGTGTTGGTGCCACGTGCGGGGGCAGCTCAGCACCTTGGGTGTCTTGCTGCACAGCAGCTTTCTCGTGCAAGAAGAGTAACCCAGGTCAGCTCTGTGGGCAGAGGCAGCCTGCCTTCTGCTTTCTGTCCTCTTCCCTTTCCTCCAGACCTGGAGTCTGTTGAATCCCTTATCCTATGGCCTGTTTGAATGGTGTCTTGCTTGGAGTTTGTTTTCCTGGGCTTCGGAAAGCCCTGGGCAGGTCGCCCCAGTTTGAGAACTGCAGCACTCCAGGCTTTGCTTAACCAGGGTTCTTCTGATCCTATGCTGGAAGCTGAAAATGATGCCGCGTTTGGGAGAGCAGGTAGTTCAAGGCTAGCGCAAGAAGATTAAGTGCAGAGAAGGCGTTAAGATTTCACCCCTGATCCCCTTTCCTGAGCGCGCAGCACATGAGGCTGTGGACTGGAAGTGTTTGCAAGACTTGCTTAGTAACACATGGCGTGTTTATCAGTCCTGAGCTGCACTCTGCCTCGTAAATATGTTTCTAATCTCGTGGCCTGACGTCAGGTGTCTGCATGCCTGTGGGCAAGTGACAGGGTGTAGATTAAAACCCTGTGATTTAGAAATAGCCATGCCCTGCTGCCTGTCAGGACTGCTCTGTGCTAGCGAGTCAGCCCTGCCTGAATTGGAATCGTCTTTCCCTTGCCTCCAAAGGAGACGGTAGTCAGGCAGGGAAGGCTGAAATGTCAAATTAATTCTAAGCAGAACTGTCTTGGGGGGTGGCTCCCTTTGTGCTTTGCTAGGCAAGAAGTGCATCTGCTGATCTTTTTTGGAAAAGGTTGTTTGCTTGGTTTTACCTTGGGGAGGGCTGTGATTGTTCTGGGTTCCACTTTCAGACTCTTTAGAGAGCCGGCAGACTGGGGTGACTGCTGCTGCAGTCTTGGGGATGGGGATATTGGAGCCCCATGGGTGTCAACTCTTGTGATTTTTTTTTTTTTTTACTGCAAGCCTTGCAGACTCCTGTTAAAGCCCCAGCCCTGAGTGATACGACTGCAGAAGAAAAGTTGCTTTCCTCTTCCTAAAAAGCAAGTTTGTAGTTTGTCCTGATTCGCAGAAAGAAGTTGGACAGTGTGGTTCCTGAAGGCAGTTAAGGAGGACTTCATGTTAGGCAGCCTGGTGTTTGGTTTAGTGCTTGATGTGGGCCACACTAAAGCGCTCTGTTTTCTGCCAGGAGTGTCAGGGCCTGAGCTAAGTACTGGTAGTTATTCATCAAGCAATTTAGGCAGCCTAAGAAGAGCTTGTGACTGGGCCAGTTGTTGTCTTCTTTTGGTGGCTCGGCCTTCCCTATTTGTCCAGTTCTCCCAGGAAACCTGCAGCAAAAACAGGGATATGAGACTTGGTTTCCCCAGCAAAAAAATTATTCCAGGTCTCTCTTGCAAATCAGAAGTAAGCCCCACAGGCATTTATTTCCCTTTGCAGGTCATCTTCTACTCAGGACTCTTCATTCTGGTTCAGGAACAAAAGTCAAGCATGTCTGCAAAATACTTGCCTGCCCAGCTGGGCTCTGACCTTGGGATTTGCTCCTTCCTGCTGTAGCTTGGGGAGGGGCAGGGAGGGGGAGTCCAACTTGGCCTCATCTATTCTGCCCTTCATTGCTCACGAGCCAGGCTTCGGGCAGTGGCTCTGGAAGCCCTGGGGCTGCTGTTTATTTGACTCCAGACATAAATTACTTTTACTTTTCTGTGATGGGGGGAAGGAAAAACCAGAGTCCCAGTCTCTGGAGGTCAGGTTGTGGCATTGGCAGGGGTGGTTCTCAGGGTGATTGGGTTACTTAGGCTGCCATAAAACCCCGGGTGAGGTGGAGGCCAGTGAAGAAGACTATCTTCCCTGCTCCATGAAGCGAATCCCACCACCACCAGCAGCTGAGTTCAGGCCTTTGTGTTTCATTCTTTCTTCCACTCTTCCTTCACTGCCTGCAAGGTTTGCTCTGTCCTGTGGCCAGAGACTTCCCAGCAGAACTTGGTTTACCAGGATGTTTATCAGCCTGACCGAAGGGAATACAAGACCCTCTTCCAGCTTTTAGGAGTTGGATTCCTGGAAGAGAGAGAATTCCTGTCCCAGAGGGGACTTGGCACTTGATGGGGACAAGGCTGCAGCTGCTCAGATGTGATGGCCAGTACAGAGGAAAGAGCTCAGGAATGGTTCAGTTGTTAACGCTTTCAGCTGCTTGGAGGAGCGGAGTCCCGGGATAGAGCACATGAAAGAGTTTCCAGCAGTCACCTCGGCAGCCCCTGGCCACCGCAGCACACAGCTGCGTGGGGCGGGCATGCTGGCCAGTTTATCTGCGTGTGCAGGATTTGCACAGATTCACAGAAGTTTAGGGCTGGAAGGGACCTCATAAGATCATCAGGTCCAGCCCCACTGCTCTGGGCAGGAAAGACTGCTGGGGTCAAATAACCCCAACAAGGTCCGCATCCAGTCTCCTTTTGAAGATCTCCAGGGTAGGTGCCCGCACCACCGTGCTGGGAGTCTCTTTCAGAGTCTGGTCGCACAAGCTGTGAAAAAGTTTTTCCTTACACCCAGTCTGAAGCCTCCTTCTAGCAGTTCATAACCGTTGGTCCTGGCTTTCCCCTGGGGTGCTTTGGTGAATTGTTGTTTACCTGGTCTCTGATGCTCTCCTCTGACATATTTGTAAGCTGCCACCAAATCCCCCCAAAGTCTTCTCTTTTCTAGGTTGAACGGTCCCATATCTGTCAGCCTTTCCTCATATGGCTTGCTCTTCAGGCCTGTAATCATACGTGTGGCTCTCCTCTGGACTCCCTCAAGCTTCTCCACGTCCTTGTTGAAGTGCAGCACCCAAAACTGGACACAGTACTCCAGCTGCAACCTCACCAAAGCCGAGCAGAGCGGGAGAATAACTTCCTTAGTTTTGCTGGAGATGCATCGGTTGATGCATGCCAGCATATTGTTTGCTCTGCTAACTGTAGCATCACACTGGTGGCTCATACTCATTTTATGCCCCATGTCCCTTTCAGATGTGGTGCTAGCTAGTGTGGCACCACCAAGCCGGTAAGTTTGTTGTGGGTTTTTCCTCCCCGGGTGGAGCACTTTACATTTCTCAGTGTTGAACAGCATCTGATTCTGGTTCTCCCATTTAAATAATCTGTCTAGGTCTGTCTGGATCATCAACCTATCTTGATGGGTGGCTACACTTCACCAAAGCTTAGTGTCATGGGTGGACTTTGCCAGTGTGTTTCAGTCCCACATCCAGATCGTTGATGTAGATGTTGAAAAGCACCGGTCCAAGTACCGAACCCTGGGAGACCCCACTGACAACTTCTGCCAGGTCAACGCAGATCTGTCTGTTAGTACTTTGGCTCTGACCCCACAGCCAGTTTCCCACCCATCTGACTGTTGAATTGTTGAGCCCATAGTCTCCTAGTTTTACCCTGAGAGTCTCATGGGACACCAAGTCAGAGGCCTTCCTAAAGTCCAAGTACATGATGTCAGCCTCATCTCCCTTATCCAGGTGGTGAGTAACCTGTTCGTAGGAGGAGATGAGGTTAGTCAGACATGACCTACCCGTGACAAAACCATGCTGGCTGTCTCAGCTTAGATCAGAGCTCACTCAGTTTGGTCTGGGCCCAGAGCTGCTGATCAGGGTGGAGGTGGAGGGATGCGGGGAATGGAGTGGGGGTCTTCCAGCCAGGCTCCACTCAGGTCATCTCTTTACAGACAGGCATTAACCAGCTTATCCAGAGGTAACAAGCCTAAGTATGGGAAGTCATACAGAGCTGTTTGAGCCAGTTCATTTGCAGGCAGAAACTTTATGGTTAAGTTGAAAATCCCTAGGTGCATCCCCTGTGGCATGGTCCACAGGAGCACGGTGTTTCAATGCCCTGCCCGAGGCCACCATACTTGCCAGGGGTCTTGGCAGATCTTTCGTGAGCCCTGGCAAAGAGCAGTAGCTCTTCCACAGTTGCTTCTCTTGGTTGTTGTTGCTTCTGAGACTGCTGACATGTCTGTTAAGAGGAGGCTTTTCTGCCCCCTTCCCCCTGCAGCACATGCACTGATCTGGGGCTGAGTTGCCTGCGTCTGCAAGTTGTAGAGCACTCGGTGTGTAATGCTGCCGACTGCCTGTTCTCAGGAATCTGGTAATGGCCTACGTGCCCGGGATGCCAGCCAGGGGGCTGGCCTGGTGGAGTGAGGGGTGCTGGGCTGCATGCACTGCTCCTCCTGCTGCTTTCCAGGTCAGCAGGTCCTACCTGCTTAGTGCAGATTCTTGGCTGCTGCAGCGCTGTGCATGCTCAGCATCACTTGGGAACAAATGCATCTGTTCTCATTAATGTGGGTGGGTTTGTGGAGAAGCTTTGGCCAAGCCATGGGGATTGCTATGATGAGCACAGAGCTGTCCAGCATTCTCCTGAATCCCTGCTGTGCAGTGCTGCCCTTGCAGCGGGTCCTTCCACCCAGCCTGGCTTGGCGCTGCCTTCCAAAGCGCTGGGGCTGCAGCTGTTGGCGCAGAGTGCAGTGCGAGGGGCCATGGCCTGACCACCAGAACTCCCGATGCAACCCCCTGTGGAGCTGTGGTCCCTCAAGGAGCTCATGTGCCTGTGGCAGCTGCCTCCTTCCCTGGCCCCACTGTTGAGGCACACCCTGGTGCACATGGTTCTGCTGACAGGAGTCTTCTGGCTGGGGGAGCTGGCGTGACCCCAGCAGATGGCAGGAGCTGTGTGGACTGAGGGAGGTCTTTTCACGGCGCCAGCTGCTGGGCCTCCGTTGGTGGAGCTCTTGTGCAGACAGGGACTCAGTCTGTGTGTCTGCAGCAGGGAAATCATAGAAGTTGCCACTTCCTCCAGGAATAGAAGACACCAGGCATGCACTTCAGGGGATAGGTTGTGCTGTCCCTAATGGCTTGTGTGTCGCAGCAAGGTGGGAGCCTGGTTTTTGAGAAGTCTCCCCAGATTCTGGAGCCAAAGAGGGTGGAATGAGAGGCATGTACCAGGGCTGGGACACATGGCAAGGGAGACGCAGCATCTTGTTTCCAGGGGCCTGCTTGTCTGAGGCACAGAAGGGCCTCAGCTTCCCTGGTGTTAGAGCCTGGGGGGGCTACTGGTAAGTGCGGGCAGAGGAGCGCTCTCAGAACATGCCTCACTTACATGTTGTTTCTCTCTCCAGGTGTCTCATGCAGTTGCAAAGCTTGTGCTAGTCAACTTCCACTGGCAGATCTCGGAGATCCTGGAAAGGTAAGCGCATGTCTCCATGCTAGTGTCTGGCACCCAGCCTTTGCAAGGGGTGCCCAGGCTTTGCAAATGGGGTTGTGCTAGTTGGCTTTCCACAGATGTCTACGCAAGAGTGTGGCTGGCCAGCTCAGTGCTGTGCCCAGGAAGAGGAGGAGCAGGCTTCGTTTGGCTCCCATAACTCTCCCGTGCCTGCCTAGCCAGTGTATGCAGAGGGGAGGAAAGGGTTGGCATTGGGCCCGGAGGCTCCTGCCCTGTGCAGGGCCTGTCAAAGCGCTGCACGTGGGCTCTGCTGTCTGCTTTGAACCTGGTTGTGGAGAGAGCTGCAAGGGGGAGGGGGTGTTGTTTTTAGGCTGGCCACCATTAAGTTTCCCTGGTAACTGGTGTATAGCTGCCTCGGGTGACAAAGCCTGCTTTCCACGCTCCATATCTGGCCTCTGGGGAGGCGGATGCTCTGTCTAGCTGCCCTTATGGCAGCCTAGTGCTCTTCTGCCCATAACTGGGGAAAGTTGGGGAAGGATCTTTATTTTCCAAGCCTGGGCACTACAATGTGCCCCTCACTTGGGCTGGTTCTCAAGCTAACTGGCAAGCTCCTGTCTTTCTTAGCTGTTCCTTGGGGGTCAGGAGCAAGCACTTGCAAGTCCATGTGTGAGCAGAAATGCCTCGCTGCAGGTGCAAAGCTCCCTCCTTGCCCCATTTTTTTCTCTGGACAGTAGGGGAGTTTTGGGAAGTTGTGCTGCCCAGAAGGCAGCCATTGCAGTTAGCAGGAAACCTCCTTTGCAGGCAGGTTAAACATGGTGGGTAATTTGCGGATTGCTGCTTCCCCTAGAGGGCAGGCCGTGCAGTATGTGTGGGTATCCATCAGGGAGGTTTCGGACTCTCCCTGCAGAGCTGCCATAAGTCAGGCCAGGGCTGCTCATCAGTAGAGGCAAAGTGGTTCCAGGACAGAGGCTGAGGTCAGCTAATTCTCCTTTCCAGGCACAAGTCCAATTCAGCCCAGTTGCTAGTGGAGGCACGAGTTCAGCCCACCTCATCCAAACACGTAAGTATGCTGGTTGCTCTGGTCTGCCTTTGGCAGTGATTGCCCCAGTCGTGTGCCGTGGCTCTCTGCCCGACTTGCCCCCACTAGCCCTTCAGCAGAGTTGGATCTGCCACCTCAATCAAGAGCCTCCAAGTGCTTCAAAGGGCTGTGGGGTCTGACTGTGTTCCTGCCCCAGGGACAGTCTCCATTAAACAGGTGGTGAGGTTAAGACCTCGAGTCCTGGGTTTGTCCCTGTTCTGTGTATGCATCCTGGGTGCCTTGTGCTGGTCACCAGTGTTTCCTTGCCCCTTCTGTCAGTGTGCATCCTCCCTGCTGGCTGGCTGAGGGGGTAGCTCTGCAGGCAGGGGCTTTCTCTTCCCTGGCTCAGGCAGCACCTCCCATGTTGGAGGCTTTAGGGGAGGCCACTGTGGCATGTTAAATGTCTCCACACAACAGAGCGTGGCTGGGAGGGGCTTTGCTTTCCCCTGGCTGTGCCAGGCTGCACTTTGGTCCTGTGGGGCACTAACATGAGGCACGGTTCCCAGCTGGCCTTCTTGTGTCCCCTTTGAAAAGCTCAAAGCTCTGCAGAGCACTTTGATGAAGCACACGTAACACGGAGTGGTGCAGCAGGTCTTGGCTCCAGGATACGTAGGTTCCACCCCAGGTTGCAGGTGTCCCATGCCAGCAGATGAAGGCTACTGATGCTGCCTTGGGATGCTCAAGGCTGACCAGAGAACTTGTCTAGGATGGCAGTAATGAGAGGAAAGTTTTCTCAGTGTTCAAGGGTGAAATGGTGCTGAGAGCTTGGTCCGTGCTCCTCTGTTCAGTGCTTCCTTGCCAGAGGGAGACCCAGAGCATTGCTCCTACCCAGAGCATTGCTCCCTGGATCAGTGGGATTGGGGTGCCGGTGACAAATGGACCAAGCTCTGCCAAGAGGCATCCACTTTAAATTTTGTGGGCAGGGAACTCTTTCCCTTCCCTCTGTGACCAGTGGCATGTGCCCTGGCCCACAGCCTCGCTTGCCTTTTATCCCCTGGATTTGTCATTACGTAGGACAATTGGCATCAGGTTGGGTTGTGGAGGATCAAGGCTTCTAGCACTGGCCATGCTAGTGGGGAGATGGAAGGGAGCAGAGTGCTTCCCGGATAAAAGGGACAGGCCAGGACACAAACCCAATATCGGCACAAACGTGCCACATGTGGGGGAGCAGCTCAGTGCAAACGTCCCTGTGATGCAAACATACCAGGGAAAAGTGGAGCAGCTCTGGCTGGGATGCAAAGAAAGCATGTGATGCCCTGATACCAAGGGCCCCAAAGGAGAGCCACTCAGCAAGGTGGCATGCATCTTCTCCAGCCAGTGCCAACCGATGCCAAGAGCATGTGAGCTAGGCACGCATCAGCCTGTGTCCAGGGAAGCTCTAGTTCAGGCTCTGAGCCATGGTGCCAAAGGGGGCAGGCCCACTGTGGCAGGGTGAAGAACACCCAGGGCAGCTGCATGGCCGCGTTGACTTGCATCTCTGTTCCAGGCAATGGTACATTCCTCCCACCACTGTGCAGTGTGCATGCAGTTTGTGCGCAAGGAGAACTTGCTGTCTCTGGCCTGTCAGCATCAGTTCTGCCGCAGCTGCTGGGAGCAACACTGTACAGTGCTTGTCAAGGATGGCGTCGGAGTTGGTGAGTGCAAGGCAGGCACTGCTGTGGGGCTGCGCTGGGGTGTGGGCCCCTGGGAGCTGGGTAGTTCCATTGCTGCAATAACGCCTTGTTAGGGGGACAGCCAAGCAGGGAAGCATCTGTGTGGAAAACCAGTCTGTGCCTCAGGTGTTTAAACTGGCTACTGGTTTGGCCTGACCCCAGGATTGCAAGGATGTCCAAGACCTTGGCTTGGTCCCTGCAGGGTGCTGCTACCTCCAAACAAATCACTAGGTGGGTTTTTTCTGCTCACGGCCCCGGGACCCCAGTCACTGGCTTATGCTTGAAGCCTCAGCACCCTGGTGTTCTAAGGCTGCCCATCTTCATAATGAGCCCTTGAGACCTGGAGGTCTCATGGCCTCTGGGTGCTCACACGTGCTCCCTTTGCATCAGTGGAAGCCTTTCGTCACTAGTGCTGGCGTGAATGGCCTAGGTTCTCCTGCCCTGTCATTCACAGTGGCAACTTGGAGCGGCTGCGGTAGGGGTGTGACATCCCTGAGCGGTGGTTGGCCATGCTGTGTCACCTTCCAGCAACAGGAGCCAGGCTCCAGCTCTTCAGCAGCCTGGTAGATGCAGGGGGTGTCTCCTTTGTCGGAATTGTGAACAGACGGTCCTCGGGCGCTGAGCTGAGAGCAGCCCCCTGCGGGCAACAGCTTACAGCACATATTGCCCAGTGCCACAGCTGCCCTTTGTCATTGAGCAGGGGTCTCCTGCATGGCCCAGGACTGCCCGCTCCGAACACCAGAGGACTTCGTGTTCCCATTGCTGCCTAGCGAGGAGCTTAAAGACAAGTACAGGCGCTACCTCTTCAGGGACTATGTGGAGGTGCGTGTGCCAGGCTGGGGGAGTCTTGCTGGGCCCTCCTGGGAGCAGAGCTTGTAGGGCCCAGTCTTCAGAAGTGACCACCTGCTTTGGGGGACCTCAGTTTTTGGACCCCAAGATGAAGTGTCTTTCATGAGAGTGAGTCAGATGTTGAGCCACCTGCCTTAAAGTGGGACCCTGTGATCTGCCTGCAGCTGGGCACCCCAGCCATGGTGGTCTGGGCACCTGACGTCCTTCACGATCCCTCACTGGAGCTCAGTGGCTGGAAGTGTGAGCAGTGGCAGTATGGAGCTTGCTGTCAGAGCACTGTGGTGATTTGCCAGATGTAGGCTTGCTGTGAGGACAGTCCAGGGGCTCTTCTGTGGGCTTGAAGCTTAGGGCTGAGGACAAAAACGTCCTGCAGCAGTACCTGAGATGCCTGTGGGTGGGCAGCCAGGGCAGCAATGCGTGCTCTCCATTGCATGGCATCCTCTGCTCACACCACTACTCTGCAAGCTCAGAGTGAGGTTTCTCAAGTGAGATCTTGCAGGAGGGCTCAGGACCTTGGGAGGGAGCAGCCAGGTGAGGGATGTCCTTTCCCAGTGATGGCAAGACCCTGAGGGGAGGGGGAGGGAGACCAGCTCTCCCAGGTTGAGAGCAGAGGATGTGCCACGGGGCAGTGGGACATACGGCCTGGAGTTAGCCCTCTTGGTCTCTAGGCAGTACAGCCATAGGAGCCTGAGCTCCCTCTTCATGAGTGAACTAGTGTGGTTTCCCTCCGTGGCAACTGAGCACCCTTCTGAGGCAGGAGGGCATGTGTCTGCCCCAGTGAGGCCCCCTCTGGCACAGCATTCCCTCCCTTCTTGCCCCACATGCTAACCAAGCCCTGGTGTACTTGCAGAGCCATTACCAGCTGCAGCTGTGTCCCGGTGCCGACTGCCCCATGGTCATCCAAGTGCAGGAGCCCAAAGCCCGGCGAGTGCAGTGCAACCGATGCAACGAGGTCTTCTGGTAAGGAGAAGAGTGCCCTAGGGCTGTGAGGGAAGTGCATGGAGGTGGGACCTGTGGTCTGAGAACCGGGTGCCTGTGGCCAGAGCTAAAACCTGATGGGGCACCTGGGATGGTAAAGCCTTGCTCCAGTGAGAGGGTGATGCTTGTTCTTCAAGCAGGCAGCCAGCTGCATTTATGCTCCCTGGTGGAGAAGGAGCTCAGTTTCCACTGCCCTGCAGAGGAAAGATGTGGTAGAAAGCTTCAGGAGCAGGCTCCCCTCCGAGGAGCTGGGTCGGGTTATCCTATCAGTGAACACAGAGCCCAGCTTCTGTAGTGTTTGGTTATGGGTCCAGATGCTGGGCTTCTTGCCGTGACTGCCACCTTGGCCCCAAGGACAGACTTGCTGCTTGGCTATTAATGCAATGCCTTAGTGTTAATGAGAAATGAGAATTTCTTTCTCTCTTTCTCTCAAGCTTCAAGTGTCGGCAGATGTACCATGCCCCTACAGACTGCGCCACCATCCGGAAGTGGCTCACCAAGTGTGCGGACGACTCTGAAACTGCCAACTATATCAGTGCTCACACTAAAGATGTAAGGCGGGTACCTGGCTTCCCACCTGGATAGAGGGGGCAGCAGCTCTGAGCATGCTTGGGATCCTAGGCAGTTTGGCAATGGTGCTATCAAATCCACTCCCTGGGGCTGGTGGTGCAGGGATGCCAATGCCCTGCTGTCTCTGGCCCAGCTCCTCGCTAGTGCTGAGGGCTGATCACAGAAGTGTTCCCTCTGCGTTGACTCCCTTGTACCCAGCCCTGCAAGATGAGGCATTGTTACTACTGCAGTTGGCATTGCCCCAGTGTAAAAAGTTGTAGACAGATTATGCAGATCTCTCAAGCCAGAATAGCTTTGTCCGGTTGGTGGAGAATTACCCCTGGAAAAATCAGGGGGCAGGGATAGAATTCAGCTGATAGATGAAACCCAAACTGGTGGAACAACCGTCATGAGGTAACAGTTTTCCCACAGCAAACAGGCTGGCGCTAGGTGCAAAGTGCAGTAATAGCCTCCCACACTGGGTGGGGGCCACCCTGGGACAGCTGCCCTTGTCCTGGTGTAACATATGTCTGTGCATAGGACAGATATAGATTACACTGCAGGGCGGGTTTGTCTGTTCAGGCCCTGAGACTGAAGCAGACATCAGGCTGCAGCCAGACGTATTGCAGAAAGGCAGCATGTGGCTGGCTCAAGGACTTGTCCCTGTGAGCAGATGGAGCATGTTAGGAAAAGGGCAGAATGCCCTGGTGCAGGGAGGATAGAACGCACTTCGTGATGCATGGTCCTGTCCTGTCCTGTCCATGGCTGCATCTGGTTTGGGCTGTTGCACCTTGGAGTTGAGAGTGGGGGGCTCGTTCAGCAGAAGGGTTTGTAGACGAAAGGTGCTGACTTCTTTTGGGCATCTCTTCCAGCAGTAGATCTGCTCAGGCCAGCGGAGTCCTTTGTGGCAACACAAGCCAAGGGTGACAATAGTGGAAGAAATTATGCCAGCACATCCGCTGAATGGCCATGGAACCAGGGCACTTGTGTGCAGCAGTGCACAGTCAAGCAGGCGTGAGATGTTTTTACCCTTGGTCACTGCTGGTAGAAGCAGATGGTCCTGCAGCCTGAGCCATGGTGCAAATGCTGCATTTCTGCATACATGGGTGTAGGCACTAATTCTGAGTAGCCCAGGAGTGGCAGGTCTACGTTCTGGTCTGAGGGACATGCTAAGACTACTGGCCTTGTGCACTGGGAATGTTTATCCAGAGCCACAGTTGTGATGTGCTGAGCTGTACATCCCCTTCCTCCTGCTGGAACATGGAGCTGTCCAGCATAGCGTGCGTGCGATTAGGGTGCAGGAATCACGGTTGTGTTCTCAGGATGGTACATAACAGTCGGCTCTAACACACACTTCTGTTTCTCCAGTGTCCCAAGTGCAATATCTGTATTGAAAAGAATGGAGGCTGCAATCACATGGTGAGCAGTTCCCTGATCACTCCAGATGTTCCTTATCCTAGCTGAAACCCTCATGTCCTCTTGCCAGTTGCTAATGCTGCCTCTTTCCTTCTCTTTTAGCAATGCTCCAAGTGCAAGCACGGTAAGTTGCAGCATCTGGAATCCGCTCTGTGCTCCTTTCTGGAGGAGGAGGCAGGGTTCTCTCCTCTCTGCCTGACTCTCCAGTACAGCACTTCTCCTGGTGAAGGATGATGGGGTTGCTCTGTGATAGAGGCCTCTTGTCTCACTTGCTGTGTTCTCAGTTGGTTTCAGACTCTGGTGTTTAAGTTCCGTCTCCTTGAAATGCCTACACATCAGACGTCTCCATCTCCCTCTGTCATGATGATAACAGGCACTGGTGTCTGAAAGCTTTCTGGGTAAACAGATTATGGGCCACCAGCTGACATGCGCTGCTTCTGCCGTGGGACTGCAAGGTGTTAAGTCAGAGCAAGCAGCTAGGGTTACAGAGACAGACACACCAGGCCACATCCACCCCACCCCATCCGTGCAGCAGCAGCCTGTCTGTCCTAGGTCTTGAGTGCAGACTTGCAGTGCCGGGGATGCATAGTCATGCAGCCCTGTGTCGCAGAAGAGCTCATGCCATCACAGAATGGCTTCTGGGGGATGCCAGAGCCTGGTCACCCTGGAAAAATGACTTGGGGGCTCCTACACTGCAATTTTGCTTTCAGCTACTAGATGCTGGGAACAACTGCTACACAAACCCTATCGCAGAAGATCTTTAAAATCTCCTGCCCCAGGTCACTTCCTTTGCACTGGCAGTGACTTTTGGGGTGTGGTGGAGAACGAGCTCAGGTACAGCAGCGCCTGGCATTTGAGCATACTGGCTGGCACTCTGCAAAGAGCAGATTTTAGCCCAGCTGAGCAGGAAGGAGAACCTGTCAGGGCTGCCAGAGCAGCAGGCAATGTCCATCTGTCCTCCTTCCCAGAACAGCACTACAGTGTCTCATGCCTAAAGCCAGGAAGCTACATTTTGTGGGCTTCTGAGTTGCTCTGCGTGTCCTTTTCAATTCTCACCTGTCTCTGCATTTCAGTGGCTTCTGGTCTGAAGCCTTTTAAGCCACTAGAGAGGGCTAGGTCTGGTGGTAGCTGCTGCAGTCGGAGGTGAGCATGCACCCTCTGCGTAGAGTTGTGCACTGTGGGATCAGATTAGGATTATCCATGTTGGCAGACTGGTGGCACCTGGAAACCTGCAGCTTGCTTGCAAGTAAAGCTTTCCCTGTGGTCCATGGTTTTGCCAGCATAGCCATGCCAGTGAGGGGTTGGGCAGGTTGTTCACTGGAGTTGTGCCAGCAAAACCTCTGGCATGAGTGGGTACAGCTTGTCCCTGGGGGGCTCAGCCACTAGCAGCAGCCCTGTAGTGTGGGCTGAGCTGAAGGCTGCAGCCATCCTTGTTTTTAGTGAGGAGGTGCAGCCTGTGGACATGGCTAGTCCCAGTGTCCAGTGCTCCATACTGACCCAAGCCATGTCCCAGTGGCACTTGCAGGATGCAGTAGTCTCTGCAAGCTGGAATTCCCCATTCAAGGACAAAGGTTTGCACAGTGCTGACCCCTGACACCCCCCCCCCCCCCCCCCCCCCCC